TTTGTCTTTCTCCTTTTTCACCATGAGGGTTCCTACACATGTGAAAGTCTTCCGTTAAAAATTTTAAGGCCGCTGGGCTGTGGTGGCACACGCCTTTGATCCCAGCACTCAGGAGGCAGAGGCAGAGGCAGGCAGATCTCTGTGAGTTCGAGGCCAGCCTGGTCTACAGAGTGAGTTCCAGGTTCCAGGACAGTCTCCAAAGCAGTACGGAGAAACCCTGTCTCTGAAAACCAGAAAAGAAAAAAATTTTTAAAGGCCATATTTCCTGTCTATACAAACACTGAGGTTTTAGGTGTTCCAGGTCAGTATACTTAAGAATCTGAACTGGGCTAAACTTTCCAAGTTCTGTCTGAGTGAATTCTAAGTAATACCACTGAGGAATTCAAAGTTGTGTGCCCTCAAACATGTTTTTGTTTTTAAATTTAAATCCCTCCCCCCTTCAGATTTGAAGGGTAAAGAGATAGAATTTGGTTATAATATTTGTGGAAATAAAATAGACCTATTATTTCAACTCTTTCTAGCCTAATGCTTTTCAGATATGAAAAAAATCATGATTCCAAATGTAAAATGACATAAAGTAGAAAGTCCAACAAGTTTAGTTACAGATACGTGGGCATGATTGTACCTGGCATACAAGTTACAATCATATTGCAGAATTTACAGCCTTTACAGAATTACAGCCTTTTTCACAAGAGTACCTTTTCAGTTTTAGAATTTTCCTTATAAGAGCCTACTTGGTACATGATTATTGGATTTTTTTTTTTTTTTTTTTTGGTTTTACGAGACAGGGTTTCTCTGTATTGTTTTGGAGGCTGTCGGTCCAGCCTAGCCTCGAACTCACAGAGATCCACCTGCCTCTGCCTCCCGAGTGCTGGGATTAAAGGCGTGCGCCACCACCGCCCGGCTTGATTATTGGATCTTTTATTTTTATTTGTGTATATCTGTGTGAATGTATGCCACGCGTGTGGGTGCACTAGGTCGGAAGTGGGTGTTGGATGCCCAGGAGCTGGAGTTGTAGCTTATTAGCTGTGCAAACTTGGGTAATTTCTTAAATGTCACTGAACATGTGTCTAGTGATCTGCAGTAGAGTGCACAAGTGTAATTTACCTTACAAGGGAGCTATGAAAATAAAGTGACAATCTGGGTGTGGTGGCACACACCTTTAATCCCAGCACCGGGGAGGCAGAGGCAGGTGGATGTTTTTAGTTCGAGGTCAGCCTGTCTACAAGAACAAGCAAGTTGCAGGACAGCCAGGGCTACACAGAGAAACCCTGCCATGAGAAACAAATAGAAAATGCAATGACATAGCGAATACTAAGAACTTTAAAAAAATCACGATCTAACAGTGAAAAGATACCTGCTAGTAGTATCTGTATTGTTGTGGATCAGATTGCATCTAGTCTTTTGAATTACAAACTATGCTGCTGAAAGGGAAAACAAAACAAAAACAACCTTGAACATACATTTTACATATTTTTTCTTTTCTTCCTTCCTTGTTTTATTTTCTTTTTCTCTGTCTAGACCTGGCTCTGTAGACTTGGTCCGGAGGGCTGGGATTAAAGGTGTGAAGCACCACTACCACCACCACCACCCCCTCCCCCCCTACATATTTTCAAAAACAGTAGATTTCTGAGATTGAATTTCAGGGTATGAAGGACACATGCATATTTAACTCCAGTAAGTTTCCTTTCTCTTTTCGATAACTTTACAGGCCATCGGTAATGACAGAGCATAATAGTCTGCTATCCTACCAAGCTTATTAGGTGAGTAGCAGATAATGAAAGCAATGTCTACTAGATAGCAAACGGTCTAGGAAACAGGGGTGGCTTTGGTGGAAGCGAGAACATTAAGAAAATGTACTTTAGCATCTTGATAAGGTCAGTATTAACTTAGTGCCCGCATATTAATTTTGGTAATCCCCCCCCCAGGGGACTTCACTGCCCCAACAGCATCCCCTTTAAGTAAAATGACTGCAGTTGCCTCACTCGCTGACCTAACCTGTTAAGTGTGCCAACAAGATTCCAACTTGGCCCACTAACTAGCGAAGACCAGGGACCTTACCATCCGTTTCCTTCACTTAATTGCAAAACTATTACAGGAAGAGCGTCTCAGCAGGACCCTTAGTTCGGGCAAGTCCAAGGGGGAGGGGGGCAGAATGGGAACTCACGGGAGACCTGTTGAGCGCTGAAGCAAAAAGTTATTAACACGCCCCCACATCTGGCTCCCGGAACCGACCACAGGAAACCGCATGTGCAGCACCTTTTTTCTCTGAAAGTGTAGGTGGCTCTGAAAAGAGCCTTTGGGTCATGAGGTCAGCGCGCTCACTTGGAGCTGGTGTACTTGGTGACGGCCTTGGTGCCCTCGGACACGGCGTGCTTGGCCAGCTCCCCGGGCAGCAGCAGGCGCACGGCCGTCTGGATCTCCCGGGACGTGATGGTCGAGCGCTTGTTGTAATGCGCCAGGCGAGAAGCCTCGCCCGCGATGCGCTCGAAGATGTCGTTGACGAACGAGTTCATGATGCCCATGGCCTTGGAGGAGATGCCGGTGTCGGGGTGTACCTGTTTCAGTACCTTGTACACGTACACGGAGTAGCTCTCCTTGCGGCTGCGCTTGCGCTTCTTGCCGTCCTTCTTCTGGGCCTTGGTCACGGCCTTCTTGGAGCCCTTCTTCGGGGCGGGAGCGGACTTTACCGGCTCAGGCATACTGACACAACGACTGCTTGCTCTCCAACGACCAGGCGGCCGGCCGTTCCCTTTTTATAACCTGTTATTCAAATGAGGCTCAGAAAATCCCACCTCTGATTGGATGCTTTATAGGTGGCGTCATCTCAATTTCCTGCCCAATCGAAATACGCGTTGGCACAAACGAATCCCATTGGTCGAAATGAAAAGAAGACGTCAGCCAATCGCAAGGGATCTTTTTCGAGCCCAGAGAAAACTATAAGTGTCAAGCTCTTGCGGCTTTCATTCCTACACAGTTTCTAACGGCTGTTTCCTCTTGACCATGTCTGGACGCGGCAAACAGGGCGGCAAGGCTCGCGCCAAGGCCAAGACCCGCTCCTCCCGGGCCGGCCTGCAGTTTCCCGTGGGCCGCGTGCATCGCCTCCTCCGCAAGGGCAACTACTCGGAGCGGGTAGGCGCCGGCGCCCCGGTGTACCTGGCGGCCGTGCTGGAGTACCTGACGGCCGAGATCCTGGAGCTGGCTGGCAACGCGGCCCGCGACAACAAGAAGACTCGCATCATCCCGCGCCACCTTCAACTGGCCATCCGCAACGACGAGGAGCTCAACAAGCTTCTCGGCCGCGTGACGATCGCTCAGGGCGGCGTCCTGCCCAACATCCAGGCGGTGCTGCTGCCCAAGAAGACCGAGAGCCACCACAAAGCCAAGGGGAAATGAGTTAGCTTGATCGAAGCCACTTAAAATCAGACCAAAGGCTCTTTTCAGAGCCATCCACAATATCTTTTAAAGCGCTGGACACCTGTACAAGACAACGGCACTTTGTGCACTTTTACACTGTCTTATAGCTGTGGTACTCCAAACCTAAGTTGTTATTTTTGCCCCCAACAGTGTCGTGGCTTGTATGGGTCTAGGTTTAAAAACGTAGGTTTAGCCTATCTAGTCGAATTTTCCCCTGACATCTTCCCATCTGGAATTTAGCGTTAGACGTCCCACAGTAATCCATATTACATCTATTTAATGAATGGGGTTAAAGCATTTTAAGTGTTGACAATCTGTTGGTTGCTACTCAGGTTATGGCCACTTTTTTTTTTTTTTTGGAATTCAGAAGCTGTGGGGTTTTGATTTAAATCGATTTTTATTTTCTTTCTGGTCGTTCGAGACAGGGTTTCAGTGTGTAGCCCTAACTATTCTGGAACTCACCCTGGTCTCGAGCTATTTAAGACATCCGCCAACGGGCCACCAGGCCGGGCTAGCAATTTTTGGTTTGCATTTGATTTTGTTTTTCGAGATCGGTGTGGAGCCATGGCTAACCAAGCTGACCAGATCCGCTTGCCTCTGCCTCGGAGGTCTGGGATCCAAGGGGTGCGCCCCCACCACCCTGCTGTGTAGTGTGAAAGAAAGGAAGGAAGGAAGGAAGGAAGGAAGGAAGGAAGGAAGGAAGGAAGGAAGGAAGGAAGGAAGGAAGGAAGAAAGAAAGAGAGGAGAGAGAGCGAGAGACAGAGACAGAGAGGAAGGAAGGAAAGAAAAAAGAGAAAGAAGGAAAGAAAGATGTTTTTGGCATTAGCTTATTCGGTCCTTAAACTATAGCTTTACGGTTAGATAGTATGCTTAGTGCCAAAATAGTTGAAAAAATATAAATGTAAACGTTACAATTCTTGCCTTTGTACATGCTTTTTAGAAGATTTATTTATTGTGTATACACCATTCTTCCTGCATGCAAGAAGAGGGCACCAGGTCTCATGAATGGTTGTGAACCACAGTGTGTTAGGACCTCTGGAAGAGCAACCAGTAGTCTTAACCTCAGAGCCATCTCTCCAGCTCCTATTTTTTGTTTGTTTGTTTGTTTGTTTGTTTGGTTGGCTGGTCGGCTTTCCGGCGAAACAGTCCTGGCTGTCCTGGAACTCACTCTGCGGACCAGGCCGTCCTCGAACTCAGATATCTACCCTGCTTCTGCAGGGATTAAAAGGACTGCGCCACCACCGACCGCCCTCTGTACAATAAATTTTGTTTTACAAGGACACCGCGGGGACCCATTCAACGAAAATGGTAAAAATCTCTTTAAACATTCGCAAACATTAAGAGTCCGCACCTGAGTCTTCCGATGTTCGATATATGCAAGTTACATAAGAATGGTGGTATACAAATAGTACCAAAGAAAAACGTTAAGTATGGGGGGGATGATGAAATTATCTTCTCATTTATAATCTGTAGTGTTAAATTGGCGCCGAGGGCCCCTCCCCCAGCCCCAGGCACTTCCCGCCAAAGCGCTTCCTGTTTTCACTCCGGTCCGCACCTTCCCTATAAGGGCGATCTGCTGCGCTGGAAATGTTATCAGTCGGTTTGCTTTCCCCTTTCTAGCTATGTCTGGCCGCGGCAAGGGAGGGAAAGGTCTTGGCAAGGGCGGCGCCAAGCGCCACCGTAAAGTCCTCCGCGACAACATCCAGGGCATCACCAAGCCCGCCATCCGCCGCCTGGCCCGCCGTGGCGGAGTCAAGCGCATCTCCGGCCTCATCTACGAGGAGACCCGCGGGGTGCTGAAGGTGTTCCTGGAGAACGTGATCCGCGACGCGGTCACCTACACGGAGCACGCCAAGCGCAAGACCGTCACCGCCATGGACGTGGTCTACGCGCTCAAGCGCCAGGGCCGCACGCTCTACGGCTTCGGCGGCTGAGCTAGCTGCTCGGCTTTTTTTTTTTTTTTTCTCCCTCTCTGCCTAAAGGCCCTTTTCAGGGCCAACCACCCGGTTCCCTAAAGGGCTGCAGCACTGTGGCAAGTTCCAACTTCCCAGGATTGGCTTACGTGTGTGGTTCAATCTGCTGCGTACTGGGTCCTTCGTTCACTGTGCCTCCTGTTGCTGTGCGTAACGGGAGGCCCTGAGTGAAAGCCCAGGATTATTGCTTAGCTCGTGTGCGTCTCCTGTGTTCGTGTCTTTCTCGTAAGTTCAGTGTGAGGTGCGGAGTCCTTGGAGGGCCGTTGCTACCTTAAGTAAGGAGAGCTTCCTTTATGGCATTAAGCTCCTCGCCTCTTGACAAGCCGTGCGTCCTTTTCCGGTCCACCAGAAGGCCCCCTACTGGCGAGTTGGGGTAACAATTTCTAAAAAGAGCCCCTTTCAGGATACATTTACCCAACAGTTGGCCCAGCCCGTCAGCCGTCCCATCTTAATACTGTCCAGCTCTAAATTAGGCGGGGAAAATAAACCCAACTGTCGGGAAAGAAACCGGGTTTTCCGGCTTCCCCGTGTCCGCACAAGATCTACGTAGTCCTGGGTGTGTCGGTTGCAAGCGCGTTTTTCCTCACCCCCCGATTATGTGCCTTTCTTAGCTGTTGGCTTTTTCTGCTGCTGTTTGCTGCTGCTACTGCTACCTGGGAATTTTTCCTGCCTTTGAATTCTTTTAGTTAGCAGAGAAAACGAACCCAATCAAGACCCCTAGTCTGTATCAGCATTGCTGCATAGTTTGGAGTGATAATGTCTTTATGTCTAACACTTCTGTGCAGTGCTCAAGTTGTTGACAGCACCTTACCGTACAATAGACGTCGGGAGCTTGTCACTTTGGTGTCATTTTTTTTTAACCACTGGACTCCCCTATTCGCCATGCAGCCGTATGTCTGTGCTTCCGTGAAAGTATTGTTTCATATAACAAAAGATGATAAATTTGTGTCCTGCACGCCCTCCCCCCGTACCACCAGTGCCTGGTTTATGTGGCATTTTATCGATTTACTTCTTAGCTGAAAGCAATCTTGAAAAGTGCTACCTTTAAAAAAAATCATTTATCCTGGTGAGGGATTGACTTCGTGGTAACTATTATAACCTTAAATTGCTACGTAAAATTAGTAAACACGCTTAGTCATTTTCATGTTTAGCATACAAAGGGTTCTTCGCTGGTGATGAATGTGTTTGGTGATGCTTAGCGGAAAAGGAGTAACTACTGTAACATGGATGAGATACAGCTAAAGGTCTTTTCTGCTTCAGTTCTAATTCCGGGGAAAGCCTGTGTGGTATTCTGACCATGTGATACATAATTTAAATGCCACTTTATATTTAAGAATGTGATGATATATTATTTATAATTTATTAAAGCTTGCCTGAGATTCAGAAAGCTAGGAGATAATGGTACACACCTTCAGTTCTAGGACTCAGGATTCAGAGGTAGAAAGATCTCTGAGTCCAAAGCCACCCAGGGATACACAACACTTATTAATCAGTCTGGGAAGCAATCTCCAGAAGTTTCAGAAGACTCGAAACCCTAGATGTTTCACTGTGGTAGAATAGGAACATTTGAGTAGGAACTGTAGACAAAGTATTCCTAGAAGTAATGCTTCTACCAGGAATGCTTCAAACAGAAGGCCTCAGCCTCCTGGTCTCTGCAAGAGGTGTGGAAAAAAAAAAAAAAAAAGACTCTGAACTACAGAGAAATCTTCTGAGGTGAACCAACAGTGTATTTTAAGGGTGTTATGACCTCAGTCTGGAAACCAGGGTATGTGTTACGCTGGGGAAGAGGCTTTGCTTTTGTTTCCATAGGAGAAGAAAACCTTTGGGTCCCATCAAAATTAATTAAGATTCGATCAGAACAGAAGACATCTCAGGAGGAGGAAAGTGATGGCTCATCTACAAGGTCATATTCTACCATGTACTGATATGTGTAAGGAGACCTCATCAATGGAAAGAGAAGTGTTCTGTTTGTGTCTTTACAGGAAAACTTAGTTCTGAACAGCGAAAAAATACTAGGTATATGGATACCTAAACAAGACAGGATAGCTACCCAGAGGACCATCAAACATGCAATAATACAACATGGTATCAATGTCTAAATCTCTCTATTTTGTTATTATAATTTCTATTTTCTTTGCTTCTTAATATGCCTGAGTCCCAATTCATCTAATTAACGCTGGCTTTAGAGTTGTTTTGGCTCTCCTGCTTTAAACCCAAGCATATTGTTAAAATACAATTCAGACTTTCTGTATTATATCAAAGAGCCATTGATATAAGACAGAAGTAAACAAAAATAGGGAGGGACTGTCATCTGTGTATACTTGGTTCTTTTTCTAAAATTCTAATCTCCTTCATGTGTATTATCTTCCTTAGGGTTGCCCTTCCCAGTATACATACATATAAAAGTTAAAGATTTCTGTGCTAACATTAATGTTTCAGTTTTCCAGAGAAAAAGGGATTTCCTGACAGCAATCTTCAACTGCTTCAGAAAGAGAATGGGGATTCACTTTCCCGACCCCGCCTGATTCGACTAGATGCATCTGAGCTGCCCCACATCATCGACCCCACCTGACAAGCACCATCCTGAAACCAGCTTGGAACTACATCTCGACGCATCTCCAGACCAAGGAACTGATACAGTGCATCTTCTACAATCTGACCAGAGCTTCAGATAAGAGCTTCAGTCTAAATTAAAACTCTAATCAAGAACTTCAGTCAAGCATCTCCTGCCAAACAGAGACTAGTTAACCTACTTAAGATTCTCGTTACACTAACAGTTTCTTCCCACAGGTCCCCATGATTGTCATCGTCCTACTTCAGCAGGAAGTAAATTTGAGAATTCCACGCCCCCTTTCCCTACTATTGATATTAGAGGATAGTTTACACCGGTTAGTGTTAGTTTTCAATTATTTTAGGGTTGGGATTGGAAGGAGGTGTTCAGACATGGGCATCCCTTTCATATAAGTTTAGAATTTAGGTGGAATGGATATGTTTAGCTTAGGATAAGTAGATTATAACTTAATTATCACCCTCTATGTATATATGTTGTATATATTTGAATTTGTATCAAATTTAAATCTTCTATTTAGACTAAAAGGGGAATTATAGGAGTGAACCCCACAAAGCTATCCGCCCATGAGGGCAAGGACAAGTAAATTAGCACAGGTAGATATAAAAGGAAGCAAAAGGAAAAGGAGTTCCCTTTTTTCTTGGAAGCCAGCCACGCTTCTACCTCCTAGCTTGTGTGACTCTCTCTGGTAAATAAATATATTGTATCTCCTATAACATCGGCTATCATCAATAGCATAGTTTTAAGCAATTCATCCATTTCCAATTTTTTCCTAATGCCTCTGCTATTGGCCTTAAGATCACCCCCTTTTGCCTGACCACAGGAGTTAGCCGGGCCCACTTAATTGATCCTCTTCTAAGCTGGAGTCACGTCAACCTTCTCAGGTATGTCCCTTGCAGGCCTTGTGCCTGCTTAACTTTTGATTTATTCAGTAACAACCCCTCGGGAGAAATGCTTAATTAGTTCCCCCAGGAATGCCACTTGAGAAACTTTTGGAATGGTGAAATATCAGCCTTGGTGGTCCATGTTCCTGGTGTCATGTCTATGCCATTAGAACACTCAGGAGAGAACCAGCTCGTCTTTACACGACATGGAAGAGGCTTTGACATTGGCGGCTATTGTGGCCGCTATTACAGCTGCTGTTAGACAGAGGGTCTGCAGGGCCTGGGCAGGCTTCTCAATGACGGGTACAGCAGGTGTTGACATCCTGGGAAACCTAAGACAGATGCTCATTATTTTTATATAAAAAAAGGGGGATTTGTTGGACCCTTCCCCCATAGGGACTGCTGACCAGCTTGTGACTAGGAGCAAGCATATCCTGTTCCCCTCCTTCCAATTAGGCCTGTATGCAAGTTCTTGTTTTCTGCCCATCCTTATTGTCTGAATTCAAGTTCTTGATATCCACCCATCCTTATTGCCAGAGGGCACAGGGAATGTGAGCTTCTGACCTTGATAGTTCTTCACCATGCCTGCTGACTGGTCTCTGAGTTGTCAGCGAATAGCTACAGGTGCATCCTGTTTTCTAGTCCTGGCTTACTGCCCCTGCATTGTCCCACTAACATTAATATCTATCTCAAGGAAAATACGCTCTCTTCCACCTGAGGTTTTTCTACTGTGTTGTAAGACTAAATATGACTGCTCCCTCCTAAAAGAAAGAGACCTCTTAGCACTTGCAAAATAAAGAGACTTCTTAGTATAAACAGCTGGACATCTGGTCTTTTTTTTCCTGATACCTCAGAGTTGCTTGTGGGGCGGACTCTGTATTTGTTATATCTGTTTCAGTGTTTCTGTATTTATGTTGAGTTCTTTGATCCACTTGGACTTGAGTTTTGTTCAAGGTGAAGATATGGATCTATTTGCAGTCTTCTACCTTCAGAGAGTTATGCCAGCATCATTTGTCAAAAATGTTTTCTTCTTCCATTGTATAATTTTGACTTCTTTATCAAAAATCAGGTGTCCATAGATGTGTGCATTTATGTCTGGGTCTTTGATTCTATTCCATTGATCCACCTGTCTGCATTTTATTACAACACCATTTGTTTTTTATTACTAGAGATCTATAATAGAGCTCAAAATCAGGGATGGTGATACCTCTGGAAGTTCTTTTATTGTCCAGGATTGTTTTAGCTGTTCTGTTTTGTTTTTTTGTTTTTTTTTTTTACATATGAAAGTGAGTATTGTTCTCAAGATCTGTGAAGAATTTTGTTTGGATTTTATGGTGATTTCATTGAATTTGTAGATTGCTTTTGATAGGATGGCCATTTTTACATGTTAATCTTACCAATCCTTGAGCGTGGGAGATCTTCTGACATCTCCAATTTCTTTCTTCAAAGACATGTTCCTGTAATACAGGTCTTTCACTTGCTTGGTTAGAATTACCCCAAGATATTTGTATGCTATTTGTGGCTATTTTGAAGGGGTTTGGTTCCCTGATTTCATTCTCAGTCC